TAAAAAAGGAAACTCGAGACTCAGAAAATATCTGAGAATAAATTAACTCTTTGGTTTCAGTAGAAATTTCGGCAGCACTTCCTTTAGAAGGGAAGGCTCCCAGAACTTCTTGTGCACACGGCTTGTGGGAATGTTGGTTGCCCTCGAGGAGGTCGGAATGTAATGCCAGATCGAGGGGTTCACCCCAAGGTCTAACAAGCCGATCTGACACTCGATGACCCTGTCTCTGAGCCTAGTAAGCAAACCATCGGCTTCGCCACCTCGTCGCAAATGGACCTCATTTTCAAATTCAACCTCTGCATCTTCTCAACGAGGTCTTCCATTCGCTCCATCGTATCTATAGCCCTTCCCTGACAATATGATTCTTCTTCCTCCTCTTTTTCTATCACAACTGGCTCTTCCCTCCTGATGTCCTCTTCGGACTTACTATTGGCCAGTTCCTCCACTTTTATCGTTGACCTGACATCTTCCTCTTGCCAGAGTCGGAACATGGCCGGTGGTGGCAGACCTAGTTCGGCTCGACGAAGCGCCTCCTTTCGCATACCACCTGCAATCTTACGGTCAATGTATTTCCCATACATATCACAGACATCTCTGTCCATGTTCGTCGAGATAAGGCCATTTCCCTCATCTACATTCCGAACTTGGCAAAACCTGAAGGTATGCCCTTTTAGTGCGCAATGATGGCAAATGGCATTTCTCCAATCAAACCTTGGCCTATCATTCCCGCCTTGCCCATTCCAATTGCCTCCACGTCCGCCCCCTTGACCGCCTTGTCCACCTTTACCGTTACCCCGTTCGCGGCCTCCATTGCCTCGGCCCTGACTGCTCTGCCCGTTACCTCCCTGGTTCTGACCTTGTCCTTGACCCGCTGCTTGACTGGGTTGGCTGACTTGAGGCGGGGGTGCTTGCTGCTGCTGTTGGCCCCCTCCTTGTCAGTTCACTCCTTGAGCTGGCGCTCTGGGGTATCCCCCTGCAACATTCGCAGTCGGCCCTCCCATGGGCGGCCCGGCTTGGTTGTAAAACGGTCATGGGCCATATGGACTATACCCCGGCCAAACAGAAGGAATGACCCCTGACCAGGTTCCAAGCTACGTTTGTCCTTGTGGTGGTGCCCCACTTGTACTCGCCTGATTCGCGTTTACTTGGGTCGGCGCAGCGGCCTGTACTCCTACATTCTTCCCGAAACCTTGGCCACCTACGGCCTGGTTCTGCGCCTTCCTCTGACTTTTTGTCAGCTTTACCGGGTTTTCCTCTTCATCGTCATCATCGTCTTCCACCTGCTCAACCACCTTCTTCGCAGCTTTTGCCTGAGGCTGAGTCACTGTTAAAACCCGTTTCCCAGCCGCCTTCTTTTGATCGGCTTGGTACTTGGCTATTCCATCCGCAATAAGCTGTTGAAGGTTGATACCTGCTCCTTCAGTGACAACTCAGGCCATTCGTTTTTGCCGTTGTTGTTTCATCTGGAACTGGTATACCTGGTCCAACTCTCCATCCGCCAAGCTTTGCTTCACTGTCTCCCACGTCAACTTCCGCCCTATGGCTCCTCTTCTTGTCAGGGAAACGCTCTCGCATTCTGTGAAGTTGCTCAGGAAGATGGCACATTGGAACTCCTCGACCAACCCTGGAACCTTCCTCGCCATGTTCTCGAATGCCATCGCGAAGGCACCCACTGTCGTGAAATCAGACCTCTCTAGCCTTTCCAAGTCCTCCGTCGTAAGGAGTCCATCCCCCAACTGATATCTCTTTTGCATCTCTGCCTTAAAATTCCCCCAATATCCTGTGGCCTCGGTTGCTACCCTCATAACTTCCGGCCGCATCTCCCACCAGACGTACTTAGAAATTTGGCGAAATTTCTCTTCCTCCGTCATTTCATCAGTAATCTGCTCAAGCAGCTCAAGCCACTCTGACACCTTCTCTCCTTAGAAGTGGAAGATCGGAACCTTCGGGATGTTGGATCGCGTCACATCGCGCCCATCCCGTAGAGCAACTAGTTGACCCAACGTAGCCGACCGCTGAGCCGCGCCATTGGCCTCATTAAGTTCATCGTCCGCCATTTCGATCTTCGAAAATCAGTTCCTTGTCAATATACAACACTTATACAGGGTCAACCTAATTACTTTAACAAACCCTTATAGCTAGTCCAACTTCAACCTTAGAGGTTGTGTCCTGCTACTAAATTTAAACATTTGACACTCATTCACAAGCATCCACTCCACCATACAATCGCACTACGAATTCGCCCACTCCATGCCAGGTCCTAATACTTCGCGTTGCTGAACATGACAATGCGGCCCTTCTTTGAGTCTGACCAGATTCATAGGGACATTCCCTTAGCTCGTAACGACAATATCAAAGTCAAAAACACACTATATCATTTCCTTAATTAAAAAAAAAATGTCGTTTTGCCTGGATCATCGTTCTGCACTAAACCCAAGTCCGTTCACTATGGACCTCGGTAGGCAACCGAGATCCCCGGCAACGGCGCCACCTGTCGTGCGCACTGTCCCCGCTGGGAGAACCTTCTCGACCACGTCACGGAGGATTGGCAGAATTCGCAAGTCGCTTCACAAAAAGGGAAGCGGCGGAGCCGCTCCGGCCGAGTGCGCCAGCTATACCTCCAGCGAGTCCCTACGACAGGACAGGGTCTCGCGGGGTACAACTCACCTCCACCCGCGGGAGCTGTGACCATCCCTTGGGTGGGCGTATCCCCGCCGAGCTACTGGACCACACGCGAAAGCTTTTATTTGCAATCGCGGAGGTGGCCCAGTCGAGGGCGTTTCTCGTATGCTGTAGCATAGGGGGTACGCGCGGTCCACGCCTAGCTCGGACCCGTACGTGAACCGTCACGCTGGGGCGCTGATCTCCCACGTGCGATTCAGCGTCGGTCGACTATGACATCCTAACTCAACCACGCGATACACGACAAAACGAAGTAACTCAGACAAGCAAATTAGCCTAGTCCCTTTTTCATACGTCCTGACCCATAACTGAGAACTGCCAATGTGTCTGAGCGAGGTCCACGCAGAGTTGCATAAAAAGAATACCACTGCCATGGGAACCATAACGTTCAGTCATGTGTTCTCACTTAATCTGCTATCATGGCGACGCTTCATGCGTTACCCACATTTGTGCAACCTCCCATGGGTTTCGGGGTTGCGTACGACATTCAAGTGTCGAAAACGAAATTTCACGATAATGCACCGCTGAAGGATAAGTCGTTCAGCCCTTGCGGCACCCCTGTTTTTTAGGCAGTGGGTGACGATAACCAAAGGGCACAGGTCCGGCTCAAGGGGAAAACCCTTTTGTGCTGGACCAGAGCCTGGGATGTCCTGGACAAGGACCTCGAATTCCAGGCTCAGGACCAACGTCGGACTAATAATTTAAAAAGCGAAACCCCTTTGAGATGAGATTTGCTCATCCCTTCCCTGAGGGAAGAAACATAGGAGTAGTAAGGGGTTGGAGAGC